CTTTCTTTCTTTCTTTCTTTCTTTCTTTCTTTCTTTCTTTCTTTCTTTCTTTCTTTCTTTCTTTCTTCTTCCAGTTTTACTGAGATACAATTGACACATAGAACTGTAAAGTGTACAACATAGTGATTTGACCTGTATATATATATATCATGGAATGATTATCACAATAATTTTAGTGACTATCCATGATCACATATAGATACAAAATAAAAGAAAAACATTTTTCCCTTGTGGTGAGAACTCTTAGGATTTACTCTACCAGCAACTTTCATGTATAACACACAGCAGCGTTATGTATATTAATTACACTACACATTACATCCCTAGTGCTTATTTGTCTTATAACTGGAAGTTTGTTCCTTTTGACCACCTTTATCCAATTCCCCCTTCCCAACCCCCACCTCTGGTAACCACAAATCTGACATACTTTTCTACGAGCTTGTTTGTTGTTGAATTGTAATTGACCTACAACATTGTTAGTTCTCAGTGCACAGCCTAATGAATCAATAATTTTACACATCAGAAAATAGTCACCATGATGTCTAGTTACTCTGTTACCATACAGATAAATTATTGACTGTACCCCCCATGCTGTATGTTTAACTCCTGTGGCTCACTTATTTTGCAACTGGAAATTCGTACCTTTTAATCTCCCTCACCTATTTCACTCATCCCTTCACCCTTCTCCCCTCTGGCAAGCTCCTGTTCTCTGCATCTATGATTCTCTTTCTGTTTTGTTATATTTGTTCATTTGTTTTGTTTTTTAGATTCCACATATAAGTGAACTCTTATAATCTTTGTCTTTTTCTGTTTGGTTTATTTCACTTAGCATAATATCTCTAGGTCCATCCCTGTTGTTGCAAATAGCAAGATTTCATTCTTTTTGATGACTGAGTAATAGTGCATTGTGTATGTACACCACATCTTTACTCACTCGTCTATTGATGGGCACTTAGGTTGCTTCCATGTCTTGGCTATTGTGAATAATGCTGCAATAGACACAGAGGTACATATATCTTTTCTAATTGGTGGGGGGGTTTTTTGTTTGTTTTCTTTGGGAAAATACCCAGTGTGCAATTGTTGGATCATATGTTAGGCTTACTTTTAATTTTTTTATGAACCTCCACACTGTTTTCCACAGTGGTTGCACCAATTTAAATTCCTACCAATGGTGCATGGGGGTTCCCTTTTCTTGACACCCTCACTAACGCTTGTTATTTGTGGACTTTGATAACAGCCATTCTGACAGGTGTGAGGTGATACCTCATTGTGGTTTCGATTTGCATTTCTGATGATTAGTGATGTTGAACATCTTTACATTTGTCCTTGGGCCATCTGTATGTCTTCTTTGCAAAAATGTCAATTCAGGTCATCTGCTCATTTTTTACTGGGCTGTTTGTTTTTTTTTCTGATGTCAAGTTGTATGAATTCTTTGTTTATTTTGAATATTAACTCTTTATCAAATCCCTCACTTGCAAATCTCTTCTCCTACTCAGCAGGCTGCCTTTTCATTTTGTTCATGGTTTCCTTCACTGTGCAAAGGCTTCCTAGCTTGACGTGGTCCCATTTGTTTACTTTTGCTTGTTTCCCTTGCCTGAGGAGACAGATGCAAAAAAATACTGCTTACGCAGATGTCAAAGAGCATACTGCCTATGTTGTCTTCAAGGAGTTTCATGATTTCAGGTTGTAATTTAAGTCTTTAATTCATTTTTTAAATATAGTATGAGAAAGTAGTCCAGTTTCCCCAACACTATTTATTAAAGGGGTGGCTGTCTTTTCCCCATCATATATGTCTGCCTTTGTTGTTATTGTTGTGGATTAATTTACCATATATGCATGAGTTTATTTCTGGACTCTTTACTCTGTCCCATTGATCTATGTGTGTGTGTTTTTGCCATACCACGGTGATTCCTATAGCCTTATAGTATAGTTTGAAACCAGGGAGTGTAATATCTCCAGCTTTGTTATTCTTTCTCGATTGTTTTGGCTATTAGGGATCTTTTGTGTTTCCCTACAAATTTGAAAATTATTTGTTCTAGTTTGTGAAAAATGCCATTGGTATTTTGATAGAGATTGCCTTGAATCTGTAGAGAGCCTTGGGGAATACGGTCATTTTAACAATATTAATGCTTCCAATCCACGAGGACAATATACCTTTCCATTTGTTTGGGTCATTTTCCACTTCTTTCTTCAGTGTCTTATAGTTTTCTGAGCAGAGATCTACCTCCTTAGATTTATTCCTAGGTGTTTTATTCTTTCTGATGTAATTGTAAACGGAATTTTAAAAAAATTTCTCTGATAGTCTGTAGAATATAGAAACAAGACAGATTTCTGTATACTAATTCCATGTCCTGGAACTTTACTGAATTAATTACTTCTAATAGTATTTTTTCCCTTAATTCATCTAATTAAAGGTTTGTCAATTTTATTGATCTTTTCAGAGAAGTAACTTTTGATTTCATTGATTTTTCTCTATTGTTTCCCTATATTTCATTTATTTCTGCCCTAATCTTTATTATTTTGTTCTGCTAGCCTTGGGTTTAGTTTGTTCTTCTTCTAGTTCCTCAAGTGGTTAAGATAGGTTTTGACCTGAGATCCTATTTTTTAATATAAATATTTATAGCTATATATTTCCCCCATAGCACCACTTTCGCCACATCCTATACGTTCTGGTACGTTGTGTTTTCATTTTCATTCATCTCTAAGGATTTTCTAATTTCCCTTGTGACTTCTTCTTTGATCCACAGATTGTTTAAAACGGTTGTTTATTTTCCACAATTTTTTTAATTTTCCAGTTTCCCTTTTGCTAGTGATTCCCAACTTCCTCCCACTGCAGTCAGATACTTTGTATGTCTCTCTTTTGAAATCTATCAAGACTTAGTTTGTTGCCTCGTATGTGGTCTATCCTGGAAAGGTCCCATGTGCACTTGAGAAGAATGTGTATTCTATTGTTGCTGGGTAGTGTTTATGAAAGTCTATTGGGTCTAGTTGGTTTATTGAATTATTAAAGTCTTCTATTTCCTTGTCTTCTGACTGTCCCACCCATTATGGTGAATGGGTTACTGAAATCTCCAGTTACTAGTATAGACCTATTTATTTCTCCCTTCAATTCTGTCAGTTTTTGCTTCATATATTTTGATGGTCATCAGGGATGTAAATGTTTATAATTTTTCATCTCTTGTTGTATTGAATCTTTTATTAATATATAATGTCCTTCTTGTATTTATAACCTTTTCTTGTCTTTAGGTTTGTTTTTTTTTTTGGCAGAGGAGGTAACTAGGTTTATTTACTTAATTTTCTGTTTTTAATGGAGTTACTGGTGATTGAACCCAGGACCTCCTGCATGCTAAGCATATGCTCTACCACTTGAGCTATACCCTTCCCCCATAATCTTTTTTTGATTCAAAGTCTATTTTGTCTGATTTTAGTACAGCCACCTCTGCTTTCTTTTGGTTACTATTTGCAGGCAATTTCTTTTCTCATCCTTTCACTTTCAACCTGCTTGTGTCTTTGGATCTCAAATGAGTCTCCTGTAGACAGCACATAGTTGGATCCTATGTTGTTATTCTTTCTGCCAATCTCTGCCTTTTGACTGGAGAGTCTACCCCATTTACATTTACATTTACTCCATTTCATATTCTATTTTCCACCTGAAGTCATTTCAGCTAGAGTGGGAGACCCTGGCAATAATGGGGGAGGTGTAACAACAATGGCCGCCCATCTCTTTGTCTGCATCTCTGTGATCAGAATCAGCAATCAGCCATCAGAGCTCGATCCCCAATATTGGGAGGACAGGGTCCTTTTTGTCCACCCTGGCTCCTGAAAAAGCTGCTCTAGGAACATGGTGCACAGCTGTCTGCCATGTGGCTGCAGGTGGGGGAATGGGTAGGCACTACTGTGATAAGAGCACAATAAATTCACCCAAAATTAACCTTCCTAATCTTCTGCTGGAAGCTGCAATACTTCCACAGACTCCAGAGTTCCAAAATAGGTACATCAGACAGATTCTGCCAGTGCAACCGTTGTCTAGATGGGGAGACAGATCCCTGGTGCTCCTTACTCCTCCATCTTCCCAGAATCCTCTTCATTCTTAACGGGTGTTGAATCCACACACTTCAGTTATGCCTAGTTCCTGGAGCCCAGTGAGGTCCCTTCCCATTCCAGCACAGATGTTAATCAATGACCCCTAGTGTCAGGAGATATTTAATGTATTCTGGGGATCAGTAAGTTCTTTCTGTAAGGAGCCAGACAGTAAACATTTTTGGCTTTGTGGGCCATGTGGCCTCTGCCATGATCACTCAACTCTGCCACTGCTGCCTGAAAGCAGCCACACACAAGATGTAAGTGAACAGAGTGAGGTTGCATTCCAGTAAGACGTCATTTGTGGACACTGAAATCTGAGTTTCATATTATTTTCATGTGTCAAAAGTACTATCCCCTGTTTTGATTTTCTTCAATCACTAAAAAATGTTAAAACCCATTCTCAACTTATGGGCCATAACAAACTCAGGCTGTGGGCTATTTGGCCTGTGGCCAAGGTTTGCTGACTCCTGGTGCATTCAAAATACTCTAGGCTACATTAGTGTTGAATGAATAACTTTCTCTGAAGAACAGTAGAAAGGCAGAGTTGCCTTTGGGTCTATTAATTAGGTTTAACAGTACTAAGAGCTTTAGTTACACATACCCAATGCTGCTTTAGCAAAGTCTAAGGATTCTACAAGGTGGAAGGGTTTTCAGAATCACCAGAAGGGGTGGTGTGGACTAGCTAAACTCACCGAACATAATATAGTACGGGGATTTTCCATTCAGGTTCTTCTGATCCACGTCTGCAGGGAAGACCTTAACGTAACCCCCTCCGCAGTCCATCTTCTGCTCGTGTTTCACTGTGTACTGGATGATCAGAGTCTTCCCTTTATTGCTAAATGGTTTGAACCGTGCAGAGATGGCATAGAATCGGCCGTTTTGAGTGGTTTGCAGACCTTTAAATAAAAAGTACTAATGAAGGATTAGGAATGACACTGCTGAGCAATGCAGGGAATTAAATGGTTGTCCTCCCCAATCCCCAATAATAAACCTTCTAACCATTTATGTTGATCCAGTGCCTACAGCACATTTATAATATGCTGCAATAACATTCAATGGGCACATCACTAACAGGCGCTCTGCTGCCACGGAACTTCTATTTCACATACTCATGTACATATAGGTGTTTTTGCACTTAATATATCATTGTTACGTCTTAGGTTACAAACACACTTCGGCTCTAAATGACAAATATGCAATCTAATTATGGATAAAAGATTACTTTTGCTTCCATTCATTTTCCAAGGGGTGGGGAAGCTACAAGGAAGCTCGGTAGCAACTGGATTAACAACTGGAACATTCTACTTCTTTCCCTTAATTCTCATCTTAAAGCAGCTACTTAAGAGATGCAACAGCTGATGGAGGACAGACTGCTGATCTGTAAAAAAGTGCTTCTTCACTGCACTGGGTGAGCTGGCCCGTAGGTGTCCTCCGTGTGGTGGCTTTTTATGAAGATACCATCCTTTTGTCATGTGACTCATCTCGTACTTTATAAGTTTAGGCGTTCACTTCAAGACAGGAACCTCCTTTTTCAGTAGCCACTAGGCTCTGTACCAAATCCTCATTTTATACTGGAATGTAAGACAAACGTGAAAACACAGCCAGTCTTCTTATAATCTGCCCTTCCTTGCTCTATACACGAGTTCCTATAACTGTCTATGCTGAGAGCAATCATTAATGAACTTGGCATTTTGTATCACTGTATCTAACCCTGAATTCATGGTTGACTCTCCACTCCCACCACCTCTCTCTCTCTCTCCCCTCCATTCTTCCCCTACCCTTCCCTTTCTCAGGTGATTAGTAGTCCTTCCCCCTCCCTCCCTCTACCTTCCAGGCAATTTCTAAGGCCGTATGACTCACTGCTTCCCTAGGTGTCTTACCACACTCCTCAGCCACCACCATCATCTCTCATCACCTGCCATGTCTGTTTGGCTAAATTCTATTTATCTTTCCATCCATGGCTTCTAGACCGGGGTCCAGGGAGACTACAATGCAAAAGGCCAAATTAACCTCAGTGCCTGGCCTGGCTCTTCTCTCAGGAGGCATGTGCTGGAGTAGATGAAATGCACAGAGTCTCAGAATTCCAGGTTGGAGGAAGGAAAATTACTGTGGGTTAAAAACCAAATGACAACCCCTCTCCTTGGACAAGCTTCACAGAACAACTTGCTATTTTCACTCCATTTTGCCACTACAGCCTGACGATTTGGAGCAACATGTGTCTACAAAGCAATGCATATAAAAACCAAAACCTGAGACTGCTGGATGTTAGGGCAACATTGGAGTAACAGGGCCAAGATGGAAGCTGAGGTAGTGAAGAAGGAAAATTTCCAGCTAACTCAGGGGTTGGCGAACGTTTTCTGTAAGGCCGTTATTTTAGACTTTGTGGACCATTCATTCTCTATCCCAACTGCTCAGTGCTGCCTTAGCAGCCTGAAAGTGGCCATAGACCACATGTAAATGAATGACCATGGCTGTGTTCCACTAACGCTTTATTTATGGACCCTGAAATTTCAGAGGTTTCACTGAATTTTGTATAATTTTTACATGTCACAGAATACTATTCTCTATTTTTCTCCAACAATTAAAAAAAGTGGAAAACCCAGTCTCATCTAACTGGCTGCACAAAAACCAGGCGGTAGAGGAGCTGTTGTTTATCTACCTTTCACCATCAGGAATGAGAAGCTGGAAAAGAGGTTATTCTTGGTACCAGGAGGCTGCTGACCTGGGGGGAGCTGGCCACAAAGGAGGCCTCTAGGGCTGGGGATGGGGCCTGAAAACGTTCCCTGTCTTGACCTGGGGGTGCTGTTGTAAACATTCATCCTATTGGAACCCCTAAGATCTGTGCTTATATATATATATATATAATATATATTAAAATTGAGGTAGGGAAAATAAAAATGAGAAGCACCCTGTAATCTTTTTCCTTCTGTAGGGCAAAACCCTCAGGTCTCCAAACCCATTTGACTAGTACTTATTGAGAGAGGTTATGGGGGGAGGGTATAGCTCAGCGGTAGAGGTCCTGCCTAACATGCATGAGGTCCTAGGTTCAATCCTCAGTACTGCCATTAAATAAATAAATACCTGATTACCTTCTCCCCTACCCCCACCCCCCCCAAATTAAGAGAGGTTATCCTGGTCAAGTAAAGAGAGAAAACAAACAAACAAAAAAACACAAACTCTACCCACGCCTTAGTTTCCCCACCTGTGAAATGGGCCTTAGAGGTGTGCCACACCTACTTTGAAAGGTTGCTATAGGGGGGTTAATATTTAGCTTGATTTTCTCACGATTCCTACACTAACCTTTGTCTTTCTCTTTATGACCATAAAATTTCCCAGACGAGAGTCTAAAATGCCCAAATTGGGAGTCATTGGTGGACTGCACCCATCGGTTCCTCCAGCGCTCTGTGGTGGGAAATAACACCGGTTAGGGCTGAAAACTGTTAATCTGCGTCGTGGGGGGAGTGAACGGGGCCCTCGAGGCTTCGAAGCTTCAAGGTTTTGCCACCGCAGATCCTTCGGCGACGGCGGGGGTGGTGGGGAGCAAAGGCGACTCGGGCCATCCGTTGGGCAGCGGGGTATGCGGGGGCTTACGCCCACGCCACCCTCCGGCGTCGCCCCTTCACCTCCGTCTAGAAATTCCTCTTGGAAGTAGACGGTGGCCAGCGCCACCCGCAGCACACAGACTGCCCAGAGAGGGACTCGAACCGCGGCCATAGGGAAAGAGCGACCTCTTCTCGTAACCGCTCCTTTTGAGTCCAGCGGTCTTCGCGGTGTGCCAGGCCCGCCCCGGAACTACAACTCCCGTCACGCCTCGCGATTGTGACCTGACACATCATTGGTTCCTAGTGCTCGGGGCACGCTGTGCCCGCCCCCAAACTACCACACCCATGACGCCTCGCGATTGTGACCTCGGGCGATATTGGTTCTTGGGGCGCGGCGTGCACCGGGAGTTGTGGTCTCTTTCTTCCTGGCGCTGTTGCCGTGGGCAACAGTCCCTTCTGGCCCGAGTGTCCGGCCAAGAGCGGCGACGGCCTCCGCGGAAGGACTTCGTGGGAGGAGGTTGGTGGGGTTGGCTGGGCGGTGGCCGGGCCCCGAGGAGTTGCGGGGAAACGGGGCGCGCTCCGGAGCTGGGCCTGTTGGGCAGCGGGAGGGTGGCCCAGCGACTTTACGGCTGGGCCCTACTTGCTAGCATGGTCCGATGTGGGTCGCTCCAGGCCTGGGGTAAGAGCCGGATAGTCTGAGAGCCGCCCGTGTTACTTATTTTTAATAACTTTATTGATGATTCATCTACATACCATACAATTCACCCCTTCTAAGCGTACAACTTTGTTATTTTTAGTGAATTTACCCAGTGGTGCAACCATCACCATCATCCAACTTTAGAAGTTTTCAGTCACCCCAAGTGTATCTCTCCTGCCCCTATGCAGTCCGTCCCCGCTACCGCCCCCAGCCCCAGGCAACCACTAATGGGCTTTCTGAGCCTATAGATTTGCCTTTCCTGGACAGTCCTTATAATCATACGGTGTGTGTGTGTGTTTTGCATCATTTGGTACTTTCCCCTGGTATGGTGTGTTTGACATATATGCATGTTGTTGTGTGTATCACGATTTGTTCTTTTTTTTTTATTACTGAATAGTATCTGATTTATGGATGGAGCTCAGTTCTCATCCATTCACTAGGTAATGGACATTTGGTATTGCGGGGTCACTACTCAGTCCACATTTTCATTGCTGTTGCTGAGTTCCTCACTAAAGGGGCTGCAGCAAACACACATCCACCAACACCGTATTCTTACGTTTTTTTTCTTTTAATCATTAAAATACTTTGAAACCTTGGTAAATCTTGCGATGAGTCGTTCATATTCTTTCAGGGGCATGTGGGAACTCCCGAGAATATGATGAAAACTCCGGCCCTCCTCCCCAGAAAACCATCCACCAGCACACACACGCCGACATTTGGTGCGAGGTCCGTGTCTGTCCACAGCCCCCTCCGCGCCCCCAGAAAGTGGTGGGGAGCTTGTTAAATACACAGACTGTGTTTCAACAGCTCTTTGTGAAAGAGCTGAGGACACTCAGGTACAGGAGGAGACCGGACTTGGGGTACAGCTGGGAAGCCGGACTCACTAGGAGTAGAGGTGGAGCCACTGGAAAGGTGGTGAGGCACCGTAGGGGTGAGTGGGGTCTTTGGAATCTGCCTGAGCCTTGAACTTGGCTCTGCTGCTCACTGGCCAGGTGACCTAGCCTATGGGGGCTCTCATTCCGTCCACCTCCTCCACGAAATGGGGATGGCGACGACTGACCCCCAGGGTCGTGTGAGGGGTCAGAGAGAGAATGTAGCTCTGAGCAGAGCTCAGGGCTGGAGCTGAGAATCACCGGCTCTCGTCTTTCGTAGGTAACATGTCTCATTTGAGACCTGGCAGGTGTCTTGTCATTTTCCTTGCCATTATCAGGCTGGAAGGTGCGGCTCCGGCCAGACTGCGAAGGGGGATTTGATCCCCGCCGGGTGGTGGGAGGCATCGACAGATCCGAATGCACAATGTGAACATCAGGTGTTCTTCTTATAAGTTTTCCTTCTTTACTCCCTAGGATGGCTTCAGTAAGAAAACCCAGCCGTCTCTCACACAGTATCTTTGGTGACTTCAGTGATGTTTCCTTAGAAGATTCAAAGATGGAAGAAAACAGGAACTTGAAAATCAGTAGAAGTCTCACCAAAATAGCACCCGGTCAGAGCAGATTTCTAAAAAGAAACCAGACTATGGGTGGAGAACGCTTACTCCCGAAAGAGAGCACTGTCCTGGGGAGTGGGCCCTGGCTCTGCTCGGGTAGACCCCCCACCACTGCCTCGAAGGCCAGGGCCAATGCCGCGCTTACGAAGCTGGCCCAGATCGAAACCAAGATCAGGAACCGAAAGGTGCGGATGGAGTTGTCTGACGTGGAATCTGACCTGCAGACCTCTGAGGGCAGCCTTCCAAGCAGAGCAGACGGGATTCCCCCCAGCAGGACGGTTGAACTTTCTCCACGGGACACAGACAAAGCCTCCCCAAAACAGGCCCGTGAAATTCCTGTCCCTGAGAGTGACGTGCCACGTAGGAAGGTCAGTAGGTTTCTAAAGAAGAGAGAGCCACCAGCTGAAAAGATCTCCCCTGAAGCACATGTTGGGAAAGAGGGGGATTCTCAAACACCCAAAGAGGAAAAACCTGTTAGAAACTTGGATTCTCCAGACAGTGATGAAGAGGAAATGAAAGAGTTGCTGGGCAGCTTGATGGAATCTCCTAGAGAAAAAGAGGCCTCCACGAAGCAGGGTTTCACCAGCACCAAAGCCAGTGAGAAAGAACAAATAAAACTCTCCTCGGTAAGGCTGGCATGTATTTATTTATTGGGGGGAAGGGTAATTACGTTTATTTACTTTTATCTTTTTAAATGGAGGTACTGGGGATTGAACCCACAACCTTACGCATGCTAAGCATGTGCTCTACCACTGAGCCCTCCCCTCCCCCTGGCATATATTTATTTTTAACAAACCCTTTACATTTATGTCATAGTATAGAGACTTTCAATGGTGGCCAACACCCATAAGCTACTTGAGAAAGCATTTGATGGGGAAAGGTTGGATGAAGCCAGTCGCAGGTACCTATTGGTGGTCTGCTCTGTAAGGGATAGAATTTGGGACACGTCAGGCAGTTTTGCAATATGTGGAACTCATAACTGTACACACCACAGGACAGCACTTGGTATGACTGATCTGACACCAGCCGCGATCGCAGCTATACCCTCCCTCCGAGTTCCAGAACATTTTCATCAGCCCAAAAGGAAACCCTTACCCAGTAATCACTCCCTGTCTCCCCTCTTCCCCAGACTCTGACAACCACTAATCTGCTTTCTGTCTCTATGGGTTTACCTGTTCTGGACATTTCATGTAATGGAATCATACAACATGTGGCCTTTTGTGTCTGGCTTCTTTCTCTCAACATAATGGTTTTGAGGTTCACTCCCATTGTAGCCTGTGTCAGGGCTTCATTCCTTTTTAGGGCTGAGTGATACTCCGTTGTATGGATGGACCACATTTTGTTTCTCTCTTCATCTGTTGATGGACATTTGTGTTTCTACCTTTTGGCAACTGTGAATAGTGTATAAGTATCTGTTTGAGTTCCTGTTTTCAATTTTTTTGGGTCTGTACTTAGAGGAGTGGAATTGCTGGGCCCTATAGTAATTCTGTATGTAACTTACTGAGGAACAAACTGTTTCCCACAGCAGCTGCACCATTTTACGTTCCCGCCAGCAGCGTAAGAGGGCTCCAATTTCTCCACATCCTTGCTAACACTTGTTATTTTGTTTGTGTGTGTGTGTGTGTGTGTGACAGCCATCCTAGTGGATGTGAAGAAACGGGAAGGTTGCTTTGGAAGGGGGAAAAGTCTGCATATTGATTTAAACTCTATTGAACACCCAGGTTGTCACAGATCTTATACTCAGGGGCCTTAGTCTAGAAGATGTGTAATAATATGTTTTTGGAAGCAGAGTGATATTTCTGATTATTTGTGGAGTGTTTCCAATCCTAGTATCATCTTATCTAAATGCTGTATCTTGACTTCCAGAAATGAGGGGAGAGGAGAGAAGGGGGCAGAGAGGAATTATTTGATGATCGAGGCCTTGGTCTCTTGCTCTCCACCAGCCACCAAGTCGAATGATAAGGACTTAACGTATTGTATGTTTGCTAATTTTACTTCTTTTATTTCCGTCAAAGTAGGATCAGATCCGAACTCAACCTAGAGACCTTTCACTGCCCAGTAAGGAACTTTCCAGCCCCAAGCCGTTTCGGGCATCGCGTCTGCCAGGCTCACAGTCAGCAGATGGGACCCTTCACAGTCTTGGCTCGAGAGCTCGTGCCCCACAGACTCACATTTCAGGTGACACAGCCTCCCGCTCAGCGTCACTTTCCATCACCGGCTCCTTTCCGAAGTCAGTGCCCTCGACGACGGGGGAGGCCAAGCTCTCATCCTCCCCCAGGAGTGAGGCTGGGCCTCAGGATGAGTGCCCCTCAGAAGCCGCCGATGACAGCCTGAATGGTAAGCCCCGTCCCTGCGTCTTTTGTTATAAATAAAATTTTATTGGGATATGGCCACACCCACTTGTTTACACATGGTCTGTGGCGGCTTTCGCATCATAAGGACAGAGCTGAAGAATGCTGACAGAGACTTGCCTGAAATGCTGAAAATATTTACTCCCCAGCCCTTGTAAAGAAAAAGCCTTGGGACCCCTGGGCCAGCTTTCTGAGGACAGAGACTGGCTGCCCTCTGCTCTCCCAGCTCCTAGCAGTTAACCGTGCCTACAACAGGCTGGTGGACACTTGTGGAGTAAATAAATGAGTAGATATCATCATGTTACATTTTTCATTACAGATTTTAGGATAAATATTTTATCCCTTGATGATCTGGCTCCAGCTGTCAGTGAGAAATCAGACTTGGAACTGGAAGTAAGTACAACGAGCTAATTTTTCACTGTAGGTCTTTACATAGGACAGTGTGCAGCCATCATGCCTCATTTAGGTCAGTGCTTCTCACCTGGGGATGACTGCAGCCCCATGGGACACTTGGTGATGTCTGGCGACCTGGTGGTCATCTTGGCTGGGGTGCAGGGTATGACTGGCGTCACGTGGGTGGTAGCCAGGGATGCTGCTCAATGTCCCGCAATGTCCAGGATGGTCCCCGCTGCGAAGAATGTTCCCGGTCTCAAATGTCAACATGCCACAGGTGAGACCCTGATTTAAGTGGTAACAGGGTGGAGCTACTTAACATAGCAGGTGATTAAAGCAGGTTCTGCTAAACCTCCCCATGGCAATACCTCCACTAGACCTAGACTCGTCACAGTGCCCTGGGGTGATTTGTAACCGCCCCGCCGTCAAACGCACGTTTTAATAATACGTAACGATGGCACTAAGAGGTGCCACCCGTGCGCGCTCACACCGCCAGCGTGCGGCGCCGCAGCCTTGTGCTGCCGGGTTTAAGGGTTCTGCCCCCGGCACTCGGCCTGCCCACATCAAGGCGGGCGGCGTGGGCCCTCACGTGCTGGGCCCCTGCAGTGCCCTGCACCTCAGTCCAGCGCAGGGGTGTTTGGAGAGTGTTGCTCATCTGAAAACGCTTTTCAGTTATTTCTGCCATCCTTCGTTTTAGAAAGGAGGTCAAGGGGAAAAGGCCTCCAGCAAAAGTCCCTGGGCAGGGGACCCCGCCTCTGGAAGCGAGATCTCTGAGCGCCTGAGTGAAGGGTCAGCCTCGGGCACTGAGGGCCTGGGGCCCGTGTCTCAGGAACCTGCGGCCAGCGCAGGGAGCTTGGCTTATTCGGAAGACTTTGAAGATTCCCCCAGTCCGACAGCATCTGAGTCGCTGGCCCATTCCGAGGGGTCTCCCGACAGGACGCTGGCCACTTTGTCTGAATTCTCGGCGAGCCTGAAGACGGACCTTCCTCCACCAACGCCCAAGTCTCAGAAGAAGCGGGCCAGGGCCGTGACGAGAGTCGTGGTGAGGGAGACGGCTGTGCAGACCCTCGGTCCCGCCTTCACCTACGAGTGGTCTGATGGTGAGCGCGCTGGCCTGAGGGTCTGCGGAGGGAGCCCCAGGGCCGGGAGGCCCGGGCTGTCATCCTTAACCAGCTGCGGGGACCTCAGCACCGTCAGTGTCCTCTTCCACGGACAAGGGGAGCTCCCTGGGTAGTCCCCTCTGTTTTCTGAGCTCTAAAACCCTCTGAAAGGTTTCAGAACCAAAGACCAAGGCAGGGGTTCTCAGCTGGGGTGGTCCTGGCCCCGGGGGACATGGGTAAGGCCTGGGCGACAGTCTCTGGGCGAAGGCCAGAGGCTCTGCTCAGCCTCCTGCAGTGGCCAGGACGGCCCCCCAGAGAGGGACCGGCCCCAGAGGGCAGCGGCACCCAGGGTGAACTGGGGACAGCGCTGAGACAGGAACCTCCTGCCCAGACAGCGTGTCCCCAAGTGGCTTGTGGGGCTCCAGCGTCGGGGCCCTGAGCACTGCCGTGTGGCCTGTCTGGCTGGTTGTCGGCACTCGTTGGGTTTTGGTGGATTCTCTTGTGGGTGCAGCGGCACTGCTCTTGCCCCCAGCGTCAGTCTTGGCCTTTCTGGACGAGCAATCGCTTTGTTTAGAGATTCTCCTGATCCCTTTTCCTGTCTAGACAACACCCACCATGTGCACAGAGCTCGTTCCTGGGCTGTGTGTGGGGGTGTGATTCTCCATCGATCTGTTCAGTGGGATTTGGGGGCTCAGCCATAATCAGCCTGGGCCTCACACCTGGGCGGGGGGTGACTGTTCAGTTCCTCAGGTAGGAAGGCCAGTCAGACATGCCAACCTGCATCACTGGGAAGTGTTCAGGGGGATTTTAAACCTGGGTTCTGTGACTCAGAACCTCCCTTTCCACGTCCTCCTGCTGCCTTTCTGACAGCAAGGCCAGTGGCAGCAAATGGGTGCGTTTCTGTTCGTGTTTTTTGCAATTTAAAGGGATGCTTTCGTAAACCATTGGCAGTGCTGATTTCCCAGACTAGGCTGACATTGAAAGGAGGGAGAAAAAAGGCAGCCTAAATAAACCGGCTTGTTAGAGTCCAGGAAACATTCTGAAGCCCTCAGATGGCTGTAGAAGGAAGACAGAGTGAGAGGAGGGCACGATGCCACAGCCATCAGCCACCATGAGCTGCAGTGACCGCTTCAGTCAGCTCACCCGACTTGTATATTTAACTGGGAGAACCTCCCAGAAAGATGGAGGAATGTTTGGGGAAATTTTAAAAGGGGAGGAGGTTCAAAAAGCAAGGAGGGTTGGTCATCACGTTCAGAAAGAGAAAAGGACAGAGTCACATAGCTTATTTCCCTGTTGACAGGAAAGTCATTGCTCTGAATCCTGCCCACTCACCCCTCCCCCTCTACTTGGGACAGCAGCCGGTGTGGCGGCCATCGGACCAGCCCTGGGAGGCACTTACGTGGACCCCACGCCCATCACCAGCCACGTTGTCAGTGCGGACACCATAGAAGGTAACAGCCCAATTCACCTTGTGGGTCCCTTTGGTGAAGTGGACACATTTTTACCTGTGGCTTCATGCCCACCCTTAGAGGTGTGGTGCCCTCCTTAGCTCTGGGTTTGGGGAATCCATTGGTGGGGATTGTCACAGCCCCAGGCAACTCACAATTCCTAGGATCCCAGATGACAGAGTGTCTGAGAATCTTGTCTGTCTTGTAATAGGACACCAGTGTCAGACAAAACAGTGAGGTCCCGGTGACACCTGTGCACCTTCCACCCCAGCAAGACTCTTTTCATTTTGTACCTTCCCCCTGAGCCTGTCTGGTCCAGAATCCATAGCAGTTTTTCTCTGGAGGATACTCCGCCAGTCCTGAGACGCCCAGCCATGTGGACACAGCCCTTGCCGAGTCTGGGGGAGTTGAAGGGCCCTGGGGGGCCCAGCCCAGCCTGGGGCGAGAGGAAGGCACCTTAAGAGCCCCAGTCTGTGCTAGGTCCTCATGCGGGGGCCGCTGATGGCTCACCAAATACCAGCAAGGTCCATCTAGAATCTGCTCTTTTTTTCCCATTTCAATTTTCTTAACATTTTGAGATGAAGATATTAAAATGTATTGGTTGTAACAAATGAAATGTTTATATCCTTAAAAAAACTCATACTTTTTTAAGCTTATTAACCTCTAAGACTTTTCCATGTTACTTTGTAGTCTTTTTTAATAAGTATGCTTTATTTTTCTTTATTTTTTAATGGCAGTCCTGGGGATTGAACCCAGGACTCAAGCATGCTAAGCACGTCCTCTGCCACTGAACTATTACCCACCCCTACTGTGTAGTCTTAGTAACAATTCTTTTTAACAATTGCAGTTATCTTTAATTGTATTTTTATTTAGTTAAAAATTATATTTTAATGGCATTTTAAATTTTAAATGATTTTAATTACTAATTTTAAAACGCATAACATGAAAGTGTACAGCTCAGGAGTGTTAGATCAGCCGGTGCAGGTGCGCGGCCTCCTTCCCCTGTGTCAGACACTGAGGTGGAGGATGCTCCGGCTAAGCCCAGAGCGGAGCGCTCTGCACAGGCAGCTCTTGAGATCCACACACGTCAGTAGAGAGCAGTACATTCGTGTACTTCTGAGAACAGATGGGAGGCCTTCCGAAGATGGTAGACTCGCAGAGGGCACCCCGACTCCGCCAGGGAGGGGCGGGCACAGGGCCCTCACGGGGCGCGGGGCTAACGTGGAGCCGGGGTAGCCCTGACAGCACACAGCCCGGCCACCTGTGCGCTCAACGACGTGCTGAAGCAGCAGCTGAGCCTGACACAGCAGTTCATAGAGGCCAGCCGGCACCTGCACGCGTCCCTCCTGCGCTCCCTGGACCAGGACTCGTTCCACTACCACACCCTGGAGGAGACCAAAGAGGTGACTGCGTGCGGCCCTCCTTTCCCGGGAGGGAGGGCGGGCAGGCGGCTTCCCACGCTCAGCCTGGGGCAGCGGGGATGCTGGGGACCTAGCCCCCTTCACCTTCAGTCCCAGTAGAAGGGCCTCATTTTCTCCTTGTCCGTGCAGGGCTGGGCCTGGCTGGGCTGGGGGCTCCCAGAGCTGGTTGCCACCCAGGCTGTGTGGCCTCAGACCAAAGGTGGCCTTCTCCTCAGTGAGGGGTCCTGCCCCTCCACAGACCCTTCCTCTCGCCTTGGTCCCCAGAGCCGAAGCTCAAGGGATGTCACAATAACCTCTTCCCCTCCAAAAATTTATTTTTTGTCTGATTACAAGACATGTTACTTTAAAAAAAATTGTTAAAGATATATAACTTATAGTCCTCCATAATTTCATAGAAACTATTACCTTTAGATTTTTTCTGTGTAAGTATAAACTGTCATGTATATATACAACATATAATATACTGTATATAATGTATAAATTATATAATAGGTATAGTATATATAAAAACATACTTCCTTGGAGAAATGGTATATGAATTGTTCTGCATGGTGATTTTTTACCATTCTATCTATAAATAATTCAGTATATAGTTCTTGAAAATAAAGACTTTAAAAAAATAGTCACAATATTTATAATAACAAAACCAAATTAACTTTTAATATCATTAGGCATCCAGTGTTCAGATTTCCACTCATTTCATAAAAAAAGTTGTACATTTTGTTCCTGTTTCTTCATCAGTATCCAAAGTTGTACGTTGAAGCTTTTCCGTGTGTTTAGCCTCCTAACATAGAGCAGTGGTTCTCAGCCCTGAGCCGCTTCAGACCCCCGAGGGCCTGCGACCACCCGGGTTGTATTGGCAGCAGGGCCGGCCTGGGAGTTTCTCATGAATCCACTGGAGACCCACTTTTGAGAACCACTGCTCTACAGGTCTGCCTGCCTCCCCTATCTCTTTTATTTCCTTGTAGTTTATTGGTTGGAAGAAAATTGGTTGTCCAATGGTTTCCCACACTCTGGACTTGGCTGATTGCGCCCCTGTGGGGTCCTTAAGCTTTTCTCTCTGTTGGACGTACCATAGTTGATCGGATGCAGGGTGACACGATCTGACCGGGTTGCCTGGCCATAGCTCATGCCCTGAGAGTGGCACCCAAGCCCTTTTCCCCAACCCGTGTTGCCCCAGCCCCCACCGAGATCCCTCTTCCCTTTCAGACTCAGGGCTTGTCCCTTGCAGGATACCTGCAGAGCCTGCCTGGGTTCACCTCTCCTCTTCTGTTTCCACAGCATTGTCACCTGGCCTTCCATCATTTTTTTGTTAGCCTGACTGGGAGCCCCTGGGGACAAGTGCCATCTCCAGTACCCAGAGCTGCCGTGGACCTGAGGCGGCAGTGGTGATGGCTTCCCTGTGTATCCTCTACCCCACAGTACATCAGACAACACAGGCCCGCCCCGCTGACCATGGAGGAGGCTCTGGAGGAGGCAAAGAAGGAGCTATGAACGCCAGGAGGTGAGATGACTTGTGGGTCTGAGGAGCTGGCCCAGAACCCTGGCTGCCATGCTCACACGTGCTTCCCGGGGACAGTCAGTGGGGGAGGGGGGGCAGCTGGCACCCAGGACTCACCTGAGTGGGATCCCAGCTCCAGCCTTTTCCAGCTGATAGTTGAGTCCTCCCAGCCCCCATTTCTGCAGCGTGCCGGACACCCGAGAGGACGCACCACAGGCCGCTGTAAATGGAACCCTGGGTGGAGAAGCCACCACCCACGGCAGGACAGAGGATGTCGGACCTTGTGGAGCGGCGCCACATGGCCAGGTGCTGGCCTTCTCATACGCGGGGGCAGATGGCAGGGGTGAGCAGTCCGGCTACTAATGAGGAGACAGGGCCAGGCGTCCACGCTGGGGACTCCCGTGTGAGACACCAGGGCAGAGCTGACCTGACTCTGCAACTCAAAGTCTGTGCTGAGGACGCACCACCTCCCTGCTCAGTCTGAGCGCGCTTCTGACTTAAACGCACAGAGAAAAAGATCTTTAAAAAAAGTCTTTATTTGAAGGCAAAACAGTAAAATCCACAAGAAATTGTTAACAACGTATGTTTACATTTGATCCTGAATCAGACACGTTTGAACAATTCACAGCTACAGGAAACCTAGAACAAAATCAAGTATTTTATCACATCAGGTTGAAAAGTTGGAGAGGACTTTGTGTCTTATTGAAAAGAATTTTTCAAAAATGTTTCTGTACAAACAAATGGCACCGCACCAAGCTGCCAGCCAAGTGTGGCCAATCCCGGCGGTTACCCCGGGCTCCCGGCAGAGACGGCTCCCTCCGCCTCCCCTCCCTTTAGGGGTGGGTGGGGACAGGCAAAGTGACAGAGCAGGTGGCGGGGCCAGTGGTCACTCTCCACACCCTGGATGCGAATGGGCCGTCGCATATGAGTGCTGGTGTGGGGGTTCCTCTAAGTGAAAAACGCAAGTAGAGACGCTAAGGGCACAGATCCTCCGAGGGCGGTGTCGTTCCATGATCTGAAGATGCCTCAGGTCAGCTTCCTTAGAACCTTTTGTTTCTGCAGGTAACAGCAAATGGCGAACATTCAAACAAAACAAAACAAAAAAACTCACACAGCTAAAATAACTGAACTGGTGGCCAGTATGTCTCAGAGGAGTCAGGCTTCAAATTATCTCACTGGGAATCAGCCTAGATCAGTATTCTTTTTTCTAAAACTAAACCATTTGGAATAAAAATGAAAACCCTGTTTAACTTTGCAAATCAAAACTTTTTTTTTTCCACTTTTAAAGAGTGAGCAGTTACCAGCGCCTGGCCTGAGCCTTCTCACACACAACCCATGGGAGAGAGTGGGAGGGCTGGCCCCTCGGCACCCAGTCCCCAGCGGGCTGGCGTGCTCGCCCAGGGCCCCTCGGCACACTCGCACTGGTTTAAGAGGCTCGGATCTGAGGGGAGATGGCGAGGCAGCCATTCCTTCAGGTGCCAGGCATCCTTCTCTGGGAGTCTTGTGTTTCTCTCTTCACTGTCAAGGGAAATGAGCTCGTGGCTGCGTTGGCCGGACACCTCCTCGTGAATCTTGCTTCTACATTAGAGCTGGTTTGCGGGTGGGGCCTGGGCCTTCCACGCCGTCAAGCACTGGTCACGCCTGCTGCAGTCTTCCTTCTCTCCTATCGCTCCCCAAGGTGGAGCACTGTGTGAGAACCGAGATGTCCCTACCATCTTCCACTGCCAGTAAGCCGGGAAGGTTCCGCCGGCCCACGTGGCCGGCCCCTGGCGCGGCTCCTGCCCGAGGCGCGCCTACTTGCACTCGTCCCTGGCCTTCATGCGGGCGATGAAGGAGTAGCTCTTGTTCCTGCGGTAGTTCTCGTAGGGGTCGTCCAGGGCCACGCCCACGCCCTTGTACTGGTCCCACTTATCCCGGACATCACCCCCCTTGATGGGGTCCTGGATCCCTTGCTCTTTCACGCCGAGGCCGCCAGATCCACTCCAGCCTTAGGGAGAGAGAGAGGAGTGGTTACAACCCATCAAGGAAGCGGAAATCGTGGTGAATTTACCAAGGGGAAGTTAAACAGGAATACGTTTGGGAGTCGAACGTGCAGTCATGCAGTTTATGAATGTGAAACTGATGGAGAGAGAGAATGCCTGGTCAAACCCCTGCAGGCTTGCCCTTTCTACAAGTTCTGACCGTGAGTCGGAACTTTCTCAGACTCCATCACCCCCTCTCCCCGAACACCCAGAGCGGGTGGGTTGTCTTCCCAGGAACCTTACCCATTTTCACCAGCATCTGATGTCCTTTGTTCTCTTCCCCGAGCCTTGAGTCAGGTATAGGAGGTGCTGAATTAGAACCCAGACCAGCCGAGGAACTAAAATTAAGACAGGTTACGTCTTTTAAAAAAGAGCGGATACATTTATTGGAATGAAAACTTAAGAGTATTACAGCAGGTAGCTTATATGAACCGTCACCAGCGCAAGATGGACACACACACACACGTTTCGTGTCTCTAGCATTCTTCTTTATCCTCTTCGCCAGCCAGATAAGGGGGCTCCCTAAGATGATGGCCCTGCCCCACGCTCAGCAGCTGGAGCAGGTCACACCGAACCCATGAAATGATTAGAAAACACAGAGCCCAGCCACGGCCCCGGGCTTTACAACAGACTGTAGAAAGGTGAGAGCGAGGTGTGAGACGAGGCGCCGCTGTCACTGTGCTAGTGCTCGCGGCGCCGCCCCGGCATGGACCACGCCAGCACGTCTTCTAACGACACGTTTCAACATTCACAGCAAAGCATCAAAGGGCGCCGGGGCTACCAGAGGTCATTCGACAGTTAAGACAGAAATCTTACGGCGGGGTGGGGCTCCTGGACCGGGACCGACGTCTCCTTCCGGGGGAATAGGACTTGGAGCGGGAGCGGGAGCGGGAACGGGAGCGGCTTCGTGAGGAGCGAGATCGGCTGCGGCTCCTGTGGGGCCAGGGGAGAGCGGGGTGGGTCAGCACGGCCGCCACTGGAGCCGAAAAGCCTCAGGACTCGCACCCCATGAGGCGGTGCCCAGCCTACCTGGATCGGGAGCGGGAGTAGGAACGGGAGCAGGAACGAGACCTTGACCTTGAGTATGAGCCGGAGGACTTCGAGGACCTTGAGTTGGAGCGGGAGGAGGAGCGCCCTCGGCTCTTGGATCTGCTCCGCGACCTCGAGGGTCCACTGCAGGGAGAGGCCTGGTGAGCCAGGGTCCGGCAGCTCCTGGCCCCTCCACAGGCTGTGCCCAGCCTGCCCGACCCCCAGTTTCTAGAAGACCCCAGATGTGCCCAGAGCAGATGCAGACACACTGGTTCACATCAGGGTTAAATACAGACCACAGCCCACTTCTCTCTCCTCGTGGAGTTTCAAGTTGGGCCTCGTGGGAAATAGCTGCCAGCGACTCCCAGCACCTTTACTGTGGGCACTGGACCCAAGACCCGGGCAGAAGCCAAAAATGACCTTCCTCTGCCCAAGTGGGGCGTCAGCAAAGGCAGGGCTGGCTCCAAGCTGCCCTGTGGTGGCACCTGCCCTGGAGGCCTGACCTCTGGCGGGGAGGGGGGTGGACAAGTGCTCTCACCTGTTCCTCTTCTCCTGGCCTTTCCTCCGCCGGGCCCGCATTTTTGCTCGGAAGAACTCATAGAGGCCATTCTGCTCCCAGCCTTCGCTGCAAGACAGGGGTGTTCCCTGTGTGACCAGGGTGGCTCTCCTCCCCCAGGGAACTTGTGAAAGTCAGCAGGAATAATCCCCACCCAACAAGCCTTTCCGCATTCACTCAGGACAGAGCAGGGGCCCAGCACAGGAAGCACTCGAGCACTCGTTTCAACAGGACTGCCCTTCCTTGGAGGAACTGGGCACGGAGGCCAGGCCGCCCGCTGGGAGGTGCAGAGGCTGGGATGCATGCCCAGCTCCACGCCTTGCCACACTGGTATTTCTCCAACAGCTGAGGAGGGTCTGAGGGTCATTGTAACTGGGGACAAGCAGCTCTGTTTTGTATGCAGACAGGCCTGTGGCCTGACACAAGGCAGGAACCGATTTTAGCTGAAGTGATGAGGCTGCTGGGGGAGGGGACCAGGAGAGGGATCTGTGACACAGCCTAATTAGTATGAAGCAACTGGTGGCCTCCGAACGTGCCACACCTGAGACAAGTTCTTGTACTAATGTCTCAATCAGAGAAGCCCTTTATTGAGGGCCACTATAGGTGTGACACATCACACAAGCTGGCGGAGAAATGGGTTCCCTGACCGCAACAGTGCCTCACCTGGGCCTGACACCACCCTAGAAGAAGGCATGATTGTTAGGAGTCTGTCTTGAAGCAAACACGGGGAAGACAAGCCAGGAGAGGGGACAGAGGCCACTCCTCCCATTGCCCGTCGCCTGGTTTCCTGGAGCCCCGTACCTGTTCCTGGGCCTGTCGTGGGACGGAGGGCTGTAAAAGGCCTCCACAGCGGCCAGCAGCCGCTCGCTGGGTGGCATTGGGGGTGGGAGGCGGATGTCTTTCGGATCCAAAGGCTTGTACTCATGGTCTTCCAGCTGCAGCAGAGAACACGGCCGTCACCGCACCCTGCCAGAGCCACCTCAGCCCCACCCAGGGAGCTGTAGGGGCTAGGGGACCAGGGGAGCCGGAGGTGGGAGATAGCAGCCCTGGGAATCAGAGGGCCTCATCCAGCCCCTCCTGGAAACCCCACTCTCTTGTAGAGTTTGCCACACCAATGACTTTGTCCTAAATGGTGTGGTTGAGGGCTCCATCAAGGCTAACAAAAGCACAGAGTTCTCTCTGTACATAAATGCACACAGACGTGGCCTCCAAGCTTGGGTGAAGGAAAGACCCTTCTGTTTATTCACACACACAGTGGACCCCAAATGCCCTCCCTGGCCGACCGCCACCCTGTGCCCAGACTCCCACCTCAGGGGTCCCACTGTCTGCCCTTCCACCCCTGGCTCTCCACGTCACCTGGTGCGACCATCCTCCACCTCCAGTCTGCTAGTGTCTCGGGGGCAGGGAGCACAGTGACCAATAAGGAGCCCCGACCCCTTCCCACACCGACTCCTCCTTGCTCACCTTGCTCCTCCAACAGAGGCCGCGCCTTTGCTGAGAAATCCCTGTCACCAGCCCCTGGACAAGGTGACTTCCAAGAGTGGGGACCAAGACGACCCGCACCTCATGCCCAGCCCACTCTGAGCGGCAACCCCATTTGCAACCCTGGGAGGGAGGCTGGGAGGGAGCATAGGGGACAGAGGCCTTGCTCACAGCCCCAAGTGAGCCGGCAAGGTGGTGTCACATCCTCATCAGCTGCTCAAGTTCACTGGGGCACCGGAAACAAGAGGGGAAGGGGCCCTGGGAAGCTGCATTTTGTAGCCAAGTGGGAAACAGGTTCCACCTGTGAACTCTTCATGTGGAGACAGCACTCAACACGAGCATGCGTGGAGGAGCCTGGCGCTCAACTTGGCGACATTACCTTCACAAGGGGGGCCATCAGCCCGGCAGGGAGATCGAAGTAGGGCACGTTGGGGACCAGGCTGGGGTCATCATGGTTGATGTGGGGAGGGCCCTGTCGTCGCATGTGAGGGGGCTGCCCGTTGAAGCCATGGGGAGGAGGGCCGAAGTCGGGGTGCTGGGGCCCTCCCCAAGGCGGGTGCTCGTTGATCCCGGGATGAGGCATGCGGTGGCCGGGGTGGTGGTGAGGAGGGCCCATCTCTGTAAAACAGAAACTCGTCTCAGGCCTGCTGGGAGGCCATCAGCTGGGCGGCACCGAATGCCCAGTCGTACACGCGCCAACGGAAAGGGGCTCAGAGGCGGGCAAGGACGCCCACACCCACATCCTGGGCCCCCTGCCCAGCACCTTCCCTCCAACTGCTTCACTCACTGCTCGGGGAGATGCAGCGAGGAGGGGGCGGGGGGCCGGGGCTCGGAGTGGCCTGTCCTGCACCCACCGCAGCACCTGACAGACCTGACGGGTGAAGGAAGGAACCACAAGGGAAATCATATGACCAAACAGTGTGATGAGCGGAACTGTGTCCCCTGCAAATCCACCCCCAGTCCTGACCCCAGTACTTCAGAAGGTGACCGCATTTGGAAACGAGGCCTTTAAAGAGGTTACTACTCGAAGTGAGGCTTGACGAGAGGCCCTGAGCCAATATTGCCTGGTGTATGGAGAGAAGAGAGACTTACACACACACAGGGAAGACTGCCTGGAGACAGAGAGAGAGGACGGCTGTCTACAAGCCAAGGAGAGAGGCCCCAGGAGAAACCAAGCCTGCTGACACCCTATCTCGGGCCTCACCCTGTAGAACTAACAGCGAGAGAAGAGCCTCCTGCTGTTGGAGCCGCCCAGTCTGTGGGCTCTGTGACAGCAGCCCTGGGACATTCACACAGCAGTAAACCTACTGCTAGTCTCCGAGCTCAATTTACAGTCAAGATGGATCAGAAAATGAAGATACAATCAGTAACAGAAAAGAAATGCAATTTTTAACACAAAAACAAAAAAAACCGACAAAACTAAAGATTCTTTGAAAAAGCCAATAGAAAAACGATGAAAATAGAGACGAGGAACAGGGAACAGCACCACAAGCGCGGGCAGGCCTGGACTCAGCACCCGCTCACCGCCCGTCTGCCCACCATGGGCGCTGGGGGCTTCCTTTTCCGCCAGCACCCCACCGTCTCCCCTTCTGCAGGACAGACAGCACCCTATCCTTGCGGTGAGTGAAAAGCGCAAACGGGGCTTCACGCCTCCACAGCCAGACTGACCTCATCTCCCCGCTCCTATCCTGAGGGCGCGGGCTGGGCTTCTCCGTCACCCTACGGCCCTCAGCCTGTCACCCTGGCTCAGGGCACACTGGGCCACATGGCAGGACCTCGAGCAGCGCCGACAGCCTGCTCAGGAGGCCGATCGGCTGGGCACCCCTCCAGGCCCTGCCAGCAAGTGACCTGACCTTTGCAGGGACCGCGGGGCAGGGGGAGGCGTTCGCTCACCAGCAGGGAAGTCCCCCTGGGGGTAGTCGAAGCGGTGCGGGTAGGGCGGCCGCTCGAAGGGGTGCCGCGGGGGGAAGTCGTCCTGCATGAAGCGGGGTGGGAAGCGGTTGAAGTTGTGCGGGTGCGGCGGCTGGTTGAACTGCGGGTGCTGCTGGTGGGGTGGGAAGGGCCCACGGAAGGGCGGCGGCCGCTGCATGCGGAAGGGCGGCTCGCGCTGGCCCGCGCCCCAGGGTGGCTGCTCGTGCTGGCTGTTCCAGGGGCCCTCGAACTGGCTGTTCCAGTTGGGGTCGGGCTGGCTGTTCCAGGGCGCGTCGCGCTGGCCGTTCCAGCCGGGGTCCCCGCGCTGCTCGCCCCACATGCCCTCGTGGCTGTTGTTCCAGGGTGGGCAGTGGGGCGGCCCGCCCTGGTGGTGCGGGTACGGGGGCTGCTCGGGAGGCTGCAAGGCAATGAGCAGACGTGAGGCCTGGCCCGCACCAGGCATGCGGGGCACTCAGCACACATTTGCCGGTGTTGCTCTCCGACCATGGAGGCGGCCTGGCCTGAACCCCAGCACTGCCTGGGGCTGCAGGCCTACAGCCCAGCCGGGCACCGCTCCTTATCTCTGACTTGTGCAGAGGATGCTGTGGTGCCCACTCGCCCGCACCCTGGGCCCAGACTCTCAAAAAGTGCAGCCACATCTGGGCTGGGGACATCCCCAACCCTGTGCCTGACAGGAGCAGGTGGACAAGCAGCAGCCCCTGAGCCCCTCCGGGTGGCAGTGCAGGGATGCACCCCCACTGCTTCCAGGGCGCAGAGACTGAGTCAAGGAGACCCTCACCCTGACGACATCCCTTCCCTGTCACTTCTCTCCCCTACGCTGCCTCCTGGAGTCACCTGCCCTCTCAAATCCTTGGTTCAGAGTCTGTACCATTACCAGGAAACATTTTTCCGGAAGCTGAAGACAGGAAGCTCTGCATCTTACTCAGCCACTGCTTTGAAGACTTACAAAGCCAGGATGGCAACCCAAACTCAGGGCCAGAGTGGCCTGTGCCTGGGTGAGGTGCCCAGAGGGCCCACCTCTAGGGTCAGGGCCGGTTGGCTCCAATGACTTCAAGGACAGGGAGGCTGGCCCAGGCCACCACACACTCAGGACTTTCATGAGAAGCCAGAAAGTCAGACTTTATGTCTGCCAACTGTATCAAAATGTGTAAGAGCCCACGTGGGCAGGCCAGTTCGTGGTTTCTGACTGGGGACTTTGGGAGCACTGCCGGCCCTCAGTAAGGGGCCTCACTGTTGCGAGCCTAACTTGCCAGTCCATGAAAACAGCGCCAGGAGACATCAGGGCATCTGTTCCCACACCCACAAAGCGGGGATGAGAACTGCTCCCACATCAGAGGGCTCACAGCAGGCACTCAGGGGAGGGAGCTGTCTTTGGGGATGCCCCATCTTTCGTGAAGTTACATCTCTTGTCCTGAAGCTGAGGGTGGGCTGGAGGGACCCAGCCACTTGTCAGTCCAGAGCTGTCTCCCTTCCATCCTCACGACCTCTACCAGGGAGGGCCTCGCCCACCACGCCCGGTCCTGGGGCAAGTGGACACCTGAGGCTGAGCCTGAACGCTCTCACCAGGCCTAGTGGCCAAAGAGCAAGCTGAGGGGTATTTTCCAGTCATGCTATGTGGGGTGAAATGACTACTGCCTCAGCCTAGACATTTCCAACCCCAAGGAACCAGGAGACAGGGACCAGGATCCCAGCCCAGAAGACACTGCCAGCCTGATATTCCCGACTCTCCCTTTCCTTACAGAAGCACCATGTTCTTTCTAGGGAGACGAGATGTGGACACTCTGCTGGTCGAACCAGATGAAAAAGAGAAAGAAACAAATCTCCTTGCTGTACTTAACAGTGTGAAATTTCTCAGCACTCACAGGAAGACGGGGACCAGTATCACTGAGACGCCCAGAGAAGGATATAAAAGGCCTGTCTGTCTTCCCTGGCAGGGTCCTCATACCTCAGGAAGACTACCACATTCTTGCCACCAGCACCTCCAACACCAGATCCCGCTGCGGAATCTCATTTCCCAGGGAGCGGCTAAAAGCCTATTGGCCCGCAGAGGCCACCACCCACTGGCATGCCATCCAGTTAGGCCCAGGTGCGCCCCAGCCAGCTACCCCCGCAACAAGTTTTAAGAGTTACCTGCTGTTGGCCCCAAGGAGCAACAGGGTGAGGCTGGTCAAACCATGGGGGCTTGTTGGGTGGGATCTGGTCGTGGGGCCCAGGGCCCCGGGGCCCGGTGGCAGCAGGGTCCTGGACCCCTCCTGAGGCGTCGTACTCAGAAGAGCCAGGTATCTGGATGGGAGGCTTGCTGTCATCTAGAGCCAGGCAGGAAGGCAGTCAGAAAAGGCCCCCGGCAGCAGGGGGCGCCACCTGAAATGATCTGCAAGCCCTCAGGGCCAACCCAGGCTGGCTTTATTTCCAGGTAAACCCTTAACTCCTGACCCCACTGAAAGCTGCCAGTGCCTCAGGGAAGGCAGCAGAAAGGAGAGAACTGACTGTGCTCAGGACATATACCCTCTTCTTCAAAAGCTTTACAATAACTATCTTTAGTTTTGCCATATGGATTTTAGTTTGCTCAAGAATTGTATCACTGAGTTTTATTAAATACCGTTTCTGCGTCTAGTTGAAAGATCATTTCTTCCCACCTGATCGGTTACCTTGTTAAATTTTCTAGTATCAAATCATCCTTATGTATTCCCGGGACATACCCTGTTTAGGAATGATGTATGTTTTAAATATTTCGCTAGATTTCACCTGTTAAGATTTTGTTTAGTATTTCTGCTTCTTTATTCAAAAGTGATCCTGGGTTGCATTTTTAATTCTTTCCCTGTCTCTGCCCACCTGGTGAGTTATCCTAGTCTCGAAAAATGACTTGGATAGCTCTCCTCTCCATTCTCTAGGATGTCTTGTCCAGGAGAAGAACTGTCCCGGTTACAAGGGTTGGATTACGTTTACCTGTGAAATCACTTGCCTGGTGCTGGTAAATAAATGAGAATGTGCTCCTCGGCCTGGGCCTGAGACTACAGAACCAGAGCCTTTCTTGGGGGAGAAGACTGCTGTCTGGAGGCTGCCCCCCGAGGGCGGGTGCTGAGGGAGCCGCGTACCAGGCTGGGAGGTTGGCGGGATGGCCGGGGCAGGCGTGGGGGCCGGGGGCGGGGCAGGCGGCGGCGGCGTGGCCTTGACCTCGGCTTCCATTTGTGGCATCTGGATCTGCTGCTGCTGCTGCTGCTGCTGCTGCTGCTGCTGCTGCTGCTGCGTGCTGTCGTCGTTGGCCTTGGCCTGGCTTGGTCTGACGTCCT